ACATGGAAGATGGTTTTCTGAAAGTAAAAGGGAACCGACTTTATGTTCCTAAAGGAGGAGATTTGCGGAGGACTCTTCTAGCGGAATGTCATGATACTCTGTGGGCCGGCCATCTCGGTGAAGAACGCACCATGGCGTTACTTCGTCGTGCCTATTATTGGCCTCAAATGGCCGATGATGTCGCTCAGTATGTGAAGACTTGTCTAGTATGCCAGAAGGACAAGTCGGACCGCTTGACACAAGCGGGACTCTTGGAACCACTCGCTGTCCCAAAGAGACCTTGGGAAAGCGTTTCCCTGGATTTCATCACCGGATTGCCCAAGGTCGGAGATCTCACAACCATCTTGGTTGTGGTGGACCGGTTTTCCAAGTAGGCCACCTTTATTGCCGCCCCACAATATATATCAGCAGAAGATACAGCTCGACTCTTCTTCTCTCATGTCGTCAAATATTGGGGCCTGCCCAAAGACATTGTTAGTGACCGCGACTCACGCTTCACTAGCAACTTTTGGACCCAACTCTTCAAATGCCTTGGGTCAAAATTGAGTCACAGCTCAAGTTTTCATCCGCAATCTGATGGCCAGACGGAGCGGTTCAATGGTATGTTGGAGGAATATCTCCGCCACTTTGTAACCGGATCGCAGAAGAATTGGGTGAAGCTTCTGGATGCTGCTCAACTGTGTTTCAATTCACAAAAGAGCTCTAGTACCAACAAAAACGCTTTTGAAATTGTTACCGGACAGCAACCGCTACTCCCACACACTGTGAATGCACCAAACATGGCTAAATCTCCTCGAGCTGCCAGCTTCTCAAAAGAGTGGAAGCGGAATTTGGAGATAGTGCGGAGCTACCTTGTCAAAGCCCAAAAGCGGATGAAGAGGCATGCTGATCAGAATCGTCGCTTTGTTGAATATCAAGTAGGAGACAAAGTGATGGTCAAAATTCCAAAGCGGTACTTATTTGCAGGGGTCCATGACCCTCGCCTATTGCAAAAATACATTGGACCCTTGTCCATTGAAAAGCGTATTGGGAAGGTTGCATACCGGGTGGATACCCCAGCTTGGTGGAAAATTCATCCCGTCTTCCATATCAGTCTCCTGAAACCTTTTCGGGAAGACACGGAGGATCCTTCAAGGAGCCAGCTCACAATACCCAGTATTCGAGGTCCCAATTCAACCGGGAAAAGGCGTGTTGAAGCTATCCTTTATGACAGAGTGATTCATGCCTCAAGGAAAGATCACCAAGAGTTTTTGGTGAAATGGCAGGGCTGTGATGCAGAAGAAAATACTTGGGAGAGGGGAACAAACCTCAAAGCCTACAAGAGCCTCATTGAAGATTATTTTGCAAGTAAGGCGCCGAGGACGTCGCCAACTCAGGTGGGGGAGAATGTCATGGGCGGCTTTCCAGCCATGCCCCATGACCCCTTGGGCGCGCCCCGTGGCGTCCTAGCAAACCTCCCAATGCCTAGCGCCACGGACGGCCCCGTGGTCTTGGCCGCGCCAAGTGACAAGCGCGCAGGTGCCTCTGTCGCCCCACCGATATCCCTCGCGAGCGCCAAGCCGCAGGCAGAAGCCAACAGCGCCGCGCGCGCAGACAACGCCGCGCGCGCAGACCGTGATGCCAAAGACACTGCTGCTGACAACGGACCTGCTGCTGCCTTATAGAAAACTAAGTCATTTTCATTGTAAATATAGAGTAGTTTTATTTCATGTACTTCCATTATGTTTCTCTAGCTTAGTCAAGTCTAGTCTTGTAACTTTGGATTATTTTTTTTAAGTACTATTAGGGGGGATCAAGCAATCAAAACTCTCTAGCAAGCAAGCAATTCTCTGTACTGGTGT